CCCCGGTCTCGAGGCTGTTTTGTGACTGAATTTGAAATCATGGTCCTCAGTACCACTCATTTCGACGCACGCCACGCCCAATGTGGGCGAGGCTCCGCTTAGGTTACCTAAGTTTTTGTATGTTTTGCACTTCTCGAGATATGGTACACCCATCCCAAACTTGACCTGGACTCAGTAGGTTGTTGTCCGCTTAATACAGAATTTCGTGACTGACAGACAGACAGACTTAGCGCATTATATATAGTGGGGACGATTCGATTTCAAGGTCTTTTTGATCTAATCAAGAAGCCGTTCTTTTGTCAATCCGAACTCATTGACGAGTTCCGGTAATTGTCGAAATAATGAAATTTGTTGACGACAGGAAAAAGGGATCCAAAATCTTTCTATTTATTGCAGGAATACAGTATTTTTCCTTCCTTGATCATATGTGTACTTAGGAAAAAACTCAAAACTCAAAACTCGAATCGAAAAAAAAGGAAATAAGAGGGCAAAGAGAAGTCGTAGACGAACAAACCATCCAAATAAAGCAGTAGAACGAAAAGTGGGAATAATCAAAAAGAAAATAAAAAGGGATGTCGCAAAATTTCACCAGAACCACCAAGTGAAGAAGCAGAATTGATTATCGCCGTCACGAAAGAGGGGAAAGCGAACTAGGTTAAGTTTCTCTATCAAAGGTGTTTACCACTTACCTAAGTGGGAAAATGAAAAGGTTGAATGCTTATTCAACGAGCTCCGCGACCGCAGAGTCGGAGCGCTGTCAAGAACAAAAACAAACAAGCACACAATATGCGAGGAGTTTATTGAAGACAGTCACTTCGATAACTCTAATGTCTAGCGCTGATCTCATGTAGTTTGTGTCCACTATTCCATGCTAACATGTTCTTGTCCTAAACAAATTTGGCGGCATGAAATGACAGAGAACTTGTTGATTACTACTTGATGGCGAAAATCAAGAGTTTGGTACTCACTCTAGGGTACGGACTAGAGTTGTAGCTGTTCCGCCATGGAATCTCTGCTCAGGATCTCTGTAAACATGATGTACAACTGTTCAAAAAAGTGCTGCGGCAGTTATTTTGACGAGCCTTGTTTGTGAAATGCTCTTCCATAGCCACAATTCGCATTTCCATTGTTTCACAAGAATGCCGGTTCCAGAAACAAAAATTCCGCCCCATACGGGACTATTGTACTACGCGCTATGCTGAATACACCATGAAAAGCTGAGGGAAGGCGCAACCCTACCCCACCAGCGTAACACATGGCGCAGTTGCCCGGAAGGTGCTGCGAGTTTCGCCAGGAGCTGAAGCTTTGTATAAAATCCAGTAGTCCGTGAAAGTACCCTAATACTGTTTATGTTGCTATTTCACACTTCAACAAAGTGCTTCCAGGTGGCAGAATTATTCCGGCCAACACTCAGACCGTCCTGTCATTGTTTGAAGGCTCAAACATGGCTCGGAACTTTGGAGTGCACAGTGCCTCACCGCGCCTCCCTCTAGCGATTCTTACATCCTGTCAACATCCTGTCAAGGAAAATGCCCAGAACTCAAAGGATGAGCACACTTATTCGGGTCGTATGCACCACAAGACTCAGTCAGTACATCAGCAGCGCATTATGCTTTTTTGCCGTCCTATTATCAACCAGTTTGGCTCCGCACGCAACCGCGCGCATCACATAGTAGGCTTTAGTGAAGCTGGACAACTTGCTGAATATTAGGTCACGTGGCTGAGAAACTAACAGTAAGATGCTTGGGAGATGTGTCACATGAATTTCGAAGGCCGTCCAATTTTGCTGAAGATTGTAGGGTAATGCACGCATTAGCATGCGCAACGAAAATTACACTTATCATGACTTCGTAAACATTTAGCCTTAATATCGAGCTCAGGTGATTTAGCGGTCTGTAGACTTTCCACAATTGAAGAATCGGTGTGTAAGTGAAATATAACCAATCAATCAGCATCTAACCATAATGGAGATTACAAGTATGATGGAAATTCGCTACTGGTCCAAGCCCAGATAGTTGAGGAGCTCAAGTTTCTTCGCTTCTCCAGATAAAAGGATAGGAATGGAACATATTCACGTGCTAGGGACCTGGTTTGGTTCAGTTGAGCGCACGCTCAACTGTCGCTACTTTCATCAGTGATGTTGCCGCTCATACCACTTTTTGTCACCTACATTCAACCCTTGCCAGCTTGATCGCTTGCCAGTGATAACTGCAACGAAGTTGTAGAGACTTGCGTTTAAACGCTTTTATCATTCCTTGTCATTTCTTATCAGTTCATTCTGTTCACAAACGGTGTCCCGGTCCCAACCTCCACGCAACGTGTAGTTGCTAACATTTGCTGTCACCACGAAGGCTGCAACGAAATCAGCAGTACTCAAAATCCTAACTTCTTTATCGTCCGTTATCGCTTGTTATCACTTCTGATCATCCGCTATCCGTGTTCCCGTCTCATCCCCTATACCACATGTGAGAGCTAAGGTTCCAATGTAAACGCAAAGGCCGCAACGAAAGTGGTGGTATCCACACTTTGACGCTCCTTATCAAATCTTATCAATTGTCACCACATTCGTTCACTCAACTTCTTGGTCACCGCCTCATCCCATATATCATACATAAGTGCAAACTCTCAACTGTAAACGCGAACGGTGCAACAAAATTGGTGACATCAACATTTTGACTTCCGTTATCAGCTCCTATCAGTAGTAACACTTTCCGCCACCCGTCATCAGTGTTCTACTCCGGCCTCCTATATATCCTCGAAGTTTGAGCGCTCTGGGTCCAAGGGGGGTGAAGTTATGAATTTCAGGTCAGACACACACAACCGCTTAGCCGATTATATATAGTAGGAATATTACTATACTTATTATTATTAGACGATCCTTATATTGCAGGTAACCTTCGCTGAAGCAAATCACAACGTTGCATAGAGGCAATGGATCATTTAAATAGTAGGGTTATTTCTTGTATTTCGAAGGTGAACGAATTGAAATGAAGTTCAGAGAACTCGCATTATCGAAGGGTATTCGGCATTATTGATAGGTACGCCGGTTCCTTCTCACGAGAAGTTTGTAGAAGGCCTGAGGGTGAGTCGAAGCCCTATCCAACTTAGGGCAGAATCAACTTTTGTGTAGAATACGACCACTTTTGAGCTCGCATCGTGAGGACGTTTCCGGACGTTCAAAGCAAGATCTACCATGATCTATCACCCACTCCTGATTAGTTATGATTGCAAAACGGCCTCAACCTTTTGTAAATAACAAATGAGGTCCAGAAACACGGCATCATGATTCCGAGTATTGCCGATTGGCGTGCTTAGCATTCTGTATCAGGGTAGCTCCATTATAACAGTTTACATTTGAGCAACTTCGAGAGTTTAGAGAATTACGTAGGCTGGGTCCACGCACAATAACAGCCTCCATTAGTGACAAGAATGAAAAATTGTTGCTATGTGACAATCGTGATTGTGAAATAGCGGAGATTCACTTGCAGTACGCAATGCATTCTACGTACATCATCCAAGGATTTTTCGTTGCAATGCAGGCGACCTTACTATATTCGGATGATGGAATGCGAATCTGCCCTATACTCACATACGTGTTTTCGGACGCTGATTTCAAATCCGTCCTCCAAATTTGCGGAACGATTCTTTGAACAGAGTTACAAAGGTTGTTAAAATGAATGGCGGTTAGAAGACACCCTCAGCCCATTGCTGCCAGTGGCGACCTGGCCGAGTGGTGGTGGGGCACATGTTGGTGCTAAGACTATGGTTCGGATCGTGGTTATGATGGAGTTTTTGGATTTTGTAATTTCGCTTGTTTTCAAGCTGAAGAACCATTCAGCGTTGAAATTACGCCATGTACAACGCTGTCAAGTGTTTGCAACGTGTTTGAATGCTCCCTTCAAGTACGACCTATTTTCTTCATGAAGTTTTCGATCAATTATTGTGCAAGTGATGTACTGCTACGTCACAGAAAGTGACGTCATTGCCGGTGACAGAGACCAATACTACAGGGTGTCCCAAAATTACTTGCGCCTATTTTGCAATGTCTTTTGAACTGTTGGACACAGAATGGTAAATGAATATAAATAATCATACTAACATCATACACTACAATACGCAACAACCAAATTTCAAAATATCCTCCACCTGCACAGGCACAGAGTCTCTTCTTGCACCATTCGCACGTTGCACGCAGGTGTTCCTTATGCAATTCATCCCAAGCTTCCTTTGATGCAGGTTGCAATGGTTTCAGACTCGTACGACGAGCTCGACATGCCTTGCTCTTAATCATGGACCAGACTGAGAGTTCCAGTTATTGAGGTTAGGGGAGCAAGAAGGCAATTCTTATTCGCCTGCATCGTTTGTTGGCCACCTTTACTGTGTTCACGGGAACACCAACAATTTTAACAATGTCCTGGGACGCAGTCTCTTGCTCGCGACGCGAATGATCGCTGGTCACTTTGGCTTACCTCTCGCAATCTCAGAGATACTGGCAGTTTCACCCCAATAGCGATGCAGTTCACAAGAGAACCTACCTGCACAACTATTTAGCAGCGCCCGGAATGAAAATGATCGATATACCTTTTCCAATGAATTTTTGAAATTTGGCGCAAGTAATTTCGGGACACCCTGTATAAACGGCAAAGATATCACAATCAAATCAATAGCGTCCTTAAAACGAGTATGTTCTGTCCTCAAGTGATGGTGTCACATCTTTTGAAGAACTTCTGTCCTTGCGATCACTCCATCGAGGAAAGAGCAGAAGGTGATAGATAGCTTTACGTCTATCTTGAGAGAATCCGTGCTTGGCAATCTTGATGTCGAATAAGAAGAGGACTTCGTCGCTAAAGAAGAAGAAGGTGATTCTCTGTTGGAGGGAGACGATGAGGAGACCACCACAAGCTCGAGTAGAGGGTTTTACAGGTACAGAAATAAGCATTTTGTATTAGACTATCATATTTGCTCATAAATTGTCGAAGTTGCTCTCTTGGGAATGCAGAATGGACAACCAAGCGAAAAAAATTGTAACCAAAGTAGGTTGTACTTGAAGGGAGCATGCAAACACGTTGCAAACACTTGACAGCGTTGTGCATGGCGTAATTTCAACGCCGAATGGTCCTTCAGCCTGAAAACAAGCAAAATTACAGGATGCAAAAGTTTCATCATAACCAGGATACGAACCATAGTCTCACCACCAACATGCGCCCTCACTACCCTCAGCGAGGCCGCCGCTGGCAGCAATGGGCTGAGGGTGTCTCTTCTAACCGCCATTCATTTGAAACAACCTTTGTAACTCTGTTCAGAGAACCGTTCCGCAAATTTGGAGGACGGATTTGAAATCAGCGTCCGAAAACACGTATGTCAGTGTAGGTTTCATTACGAATGGCCACATTGACCTGGAATCCTTCCCTTGTTAGTGAAAAGTTCCCGGAAGTGAGAACAGGCTTAGCTCTTATTACTCTTATTATGGGTCGTTCTGCACTTTACAGCCCAGCTAACTCTTACTCGCGCACAAAGAACTTTGTAAGCTTCGGCGGAAACCCACGAAACAAAGCAAATCATAAGTTGGAGCAACCGACGTGAGGTTCTTGGTTTTTGCACCATATTGTGAGCCAATCGTTGAGCAAGGTATTCTTTTGCCCTCCAGCACAAGCTAATTGACTGAATAATTGCAAAAATTTTTTAGACTAGAGAAATCTATTGGACTAAATTAGAAATGACTAGGTCCAATTTTTGACTTGAGCAATGAAATATTCGACCTCATCTTTGTACAGCAATGTATAAAATGAAAAGCCCTACTGGCACCATCCAACATGGTGGATAGGCACGGTAGCGGTATTGAGATTTCAGACTTGGTAACGCTCGTCATAACTCTCATCGATGAACGCATAGATTGTGGCACCACTAGAAAAACAGGTTCGTAATATTGTCGAATCAGGTTTGACAATTGGCTCAGTAACGGAAGGCCAACCACTGACATGCTGCAAGTATATATTAGGTGGGTCCATAACTTTGAGACAATCCTACTATATATAATCGGCTGAGTGTGTCTGTTGGTGTGTCCGCGTGTGTGTATGTGTGGGCTCCCCCACTTTCTTCACGATTTGGGGCGCGGCCGCGGCAAACCCGGCCGAGTCGATAGTGCCCGCGAACTGTGTGGGTAAATTTGAATACGCATCACCACCACAGTTCGCGGGCACTATCGACTCGTCCGCGCTCGCCGCAGCCGCGCCCCAAATCGTGAAGAAAGTGGGGGAGCCGTATGTGTGTTTGACAGGAAATTCGGAGCTCGGGTCACAGCAATGATAGTGCCATGGTTCTTACATATGTTATAGGGGGTGGTATGGGGACACAAGTGCTATGTGATAGGAACTGATAACGACTGATAATAGCTGATAAGAGGGGCTAGAAAGCAAGCATAGCCAATTCCGTTTTGTCGTTCATATTGATACTAGAGCGTCTATACTTTAAAGTGTTGTGTGGAGTGGTCCCGGGACATCAGTGGTACATGAATGAAAGCGATAGCAACTGATTAAAGCTGATAAGGCGCTTCAGAACGCCAAAGTTGTCGACTCCGTTACTTAGCTCGCGCTGGCACCAGAGCATCCCTGCTCACAAATGTTATGAGGGGTGGGACGGGGACATTGCTGATGGGTGATAGAAAGTGGTTACAATTGATAAAGGCTTAGGGCGCGTCAGAACGCAAAGGTCGTCGATTCCATTAGCCGGCTCGTGTTGATACTAGAGCGTCCCTACTACAGGTGTTATAAGGGGTGGGATGGGACCATAGCAGTCGATTGCACTCAATCAAGTCTTAGCAAATGATAAGTTTCATTTCTAATGCAATATCAAGAAAGCCCAAACTCATTAAACCGCTAATCATTTCGGGGTCCTAAATAATGGTGAATGTAAATAAATGATAAGCCTTACCAGGAAGATCTTTCAAGGCGTGACAAGCTTTTTGAAAACGGTCTTTTGCATGATATAGGGGCAGATGCGGTAACCACAGAACCATGTTCAACTTTTCCTGAACGGCTCTCTGAATACCAAAAAAGGAGGTCCCTAGTTCGATTTCTCGTGGTAACAAATTTTTGCATTTCGAGTTGACGTGCCAAAATCGCGCAAAATGGAGTTGTAGTTGGAATGACGCAAAATGAATAATCAGTACCATACTCATGATTAGGACCGTCAGTAACCCTTACAAATAGACTTTGATTAAAAGCTGGTCAAAAAGGTGTGACACCACAGTGGGCGTGGGGAAAAATTAAACATGGTTCTGTGGCTCGCTTGATGTCACGCCTCTCACACCAATTTTTAAGTCAAAGTCTTTTTGAAGGAGTTACTGACGGCACTTATCATGAATATGGTACTAATTATTCATGCCAACCATTTTGCGCGAATTTTGGAACGTCAACTCGAAATGCAAAAATTTGTCACCAAGAGGAATCGAACTAGGGATCGAAAAAAAAATCGAACTCGAACTTTTCTGGTATTCAGAGGGCCGTTCGGGAAAAATTAAACATGGTTCTGTGGTGCGTCTGCCCCTATATCATGCAAAAGACCGTTTTCAAAAGCTCGTCACGCCCCGAAAGACCTTCCTGGTTAGCTCCTCCCTTACAGTAGTGGCCAGAAATTTATGAACAAACGGTTTTTTCATGATTTCTCTTCAAGAAGTCACTGCAACGTCTCCAAATTTGCAACAATTATTAACTACGTGTTTTATGATATACACAGAAAATTTCAACCTTTAGCTCAAATTTGGCTTTAGAAAATTTTAGATTCTTCGAAATGAAGGCAGGTGAGAGATCACTTGATCCGTTTATTTGATTTAAATTATGTACAACCCAACAGAACAGTCAATTAAACAGTCACTAACATTAAGCAAGTCTAGCACATTGCCCGGAACTCTCTAATGTATTAGATACATAAACTGGATTTGAACGCAGGGTGAACTAATCTTGCTCTTTAGTGGGGTCTCTCTCTGCAGTCCCATCTTTTCGTGGCTCTTTCATTGAGATACGCGCCTGTAGGTCCTCCCCTAGTGGTTCTGTAATGTTTGGCTCAGGAATCTGGCCTGGCTGGTCTTTTGTAAGCACCCCATGCTGTCGAAACCACTCCTGCATGTGAGAGGCTCGTTGCTTTGAGTCGCTGCTCTGCTGACAGACAAAGCAAGGTCGTGTGGCAGCCATGTCCACGGATTCTAGAATCTGAGTCTATACTACGTATTCCTTAGCTCTCAACGTCTAAGAAGAGCGCTCGCTGTGAAGTGGGTGGGAGTAGAGTGTGATTGACTAAGTCTGAAACGAAGGTTGATACAGCTTTCTAAGGTCATCTGGAATGACAAAAACATATTACTGATGCATGACAGCAAGGAAGCTAGTATTGTACGGCACCACGAGTGGGAACGTTTTGATCCAAAGAAACAGCTGCCAATTGTGAAACTTGGCGCAGGCTTGATAAGGTTGCCTTGGAAAAAAGTAGGACCACGCCACACGACTGAGGTAGCGATGAAGGCAGACGCTTACATTCATGTTTCGGAAGGTGTCTTGTATCCGTAGGCTTGGCTGCCACACGACCTTGCTTTGTCTGTCAGCAGAGCAGCGACTCAAAGCATCGAGCCTCTCACATGCAGGAGTGGTTTTGACAGCATGGGGTGCTTTTAGAAGACCAGCCAGGCCAGATTCCAGAGCCAAACATTACAGGACCACTAGAGGAGGACCTACAGATGCGTATATCAGTGAAAGAGCCACGAAAATATGGGACTGCAGAGAGATACCCCACTAAAGAGCGAGTACATTAGTTGACCCCGCATTCAAATCCAGTTTATGTATCCAATGCTTTAGAGAGTTCCGAGCAATGTGCTAGACTTGCTTAATGTTAGTGACTGTTTACTTGACTGTTCTGTTGGGTTGTACATTATTTAAATCAAACAAACGGATCAAGTGATTCACCTGCCTTCATTAATTTCGAAAAATCTAAAATTTTCTAAACCGGAATTCGAGCTGAAGGCTGAAACTTTCTGTGTGGATCATAAAGGACGTAGTTAATAATTGGTGCAAATTTGGAGACGTTTCAGTGACTAACAAAAGAGAAATAATGAAAAAACCGTTTGTTCATAAATTTCTGGCCACTACTGTATGTGAATAGGCGTATTTCATTTTCATTTTGAGACTGACAGCAATCCTATTCACCGCTAAATTATCTGAGTTCAAGAAGAATGCTAAATGTTTACAGTGGTGAGATATATATGTACACCAACTAAGTTGCAGACGTTATCACGCATATTCAGTGAATTCAGTGAATTTGGGAAAGGTCTCACACATTCAATAGTGAGGTGGTTAATGGAGGACCTCATGCTGATATTCCTTGAGTCCTCCAGTTTCGCTAAAGCCTGCCGTGTGATGCGCGCGATGGCGGGCGGAGCAAAACTGGTTCACATATATTGCTGTAAATACCTTTTGATGAGCGCCGAGGCTTTTCGAAATCTCCTACAGCTTCGCACACAAGCTCGCCTACCTGGTAGGCTAGCCACCTCGCTTGCAATGTTACTTTCTTTGACTAAACTTCCAATTTCTGTAAAACCACTTCTGAGCCTTGCTCCTCATGACTAAAGATTAGGACCTTCTCTTCAACTTTATTTGAAGATGATCCACACTCGAACCACTCCGTGGCAGACAACTTCGATGCTCTACCAGCGCCATTGAAAAAGCATCTGAACAATGAGCGCTCTTCGTTAACACATATTGAGAGAGTACTGAAACATCTCGACAAATTGGCTAATGTTTGAAAGTATGGAGTTTGTTTCTCACATGCTCTGAGTGAGCTCGAATCAGCTCTAAATCCGATCTGACATAATCATGTTCCCATTGGCTTCCCATAGTTCCCTCGAATGACCATCCAGCATACTCACTGGTGGTAATGATCTGGGTACTGTGAGCTAACAATTCCACAAGCCGCAGTAGCTTAGCTCAAACGATACGGGAGTAAAGACAGCAGAAACCCAACTACCTCTAAATTCTAGCTTCCTGAGTTG